AATTGCTTAGTAATGAAAACTTTAATTGCTGGGAAATTAAACCTTTAATTGCAAAGTGGCTGGCAGAAAGCCAGTCCATAACAACAAAGATCTTCTTCTTCTTCTTCTTCTTCTTCTTCTTCTTCTTCTTCTTCTTCTTCTTCTTCTTCTTCTTCTTCTTCTTCTTCTTCTTCTTCTTCTTNTCCATCCATCCATCCATCCATCCATCCATTCATCTCTTGATAGAGTGGTGAATTGTCACACACCTACTCAAAAATCAATTTTGTTCTTGCCTAAGTTCACTTGCGTTTAATTTGCCCTTTTTAAAATAAACCACATGAAATTGAAATTGAAATAAGCATATTTGACTCCTGCTTATAATTCTATTTTACCTCAAGATTAGAAATGAATGCCTTATGGGCAGGAAAATAGCAAAAATTTGTGTGTTTGCATTTCTCTTTCCCCCCCTCTCTCTCCCCCCTTCTCCCTCTCAGAATCTGGCAAACTTGGTGGATAAAGTCTGCCGAAATCAGAATCATCCACAATCCTCAATTATTATTATCTCCTGGTAAGACGTCAAACTACAATTGTCTTGTTTTTCTAGTTAAAGAAGTTCTTTAAATGTTTGCTGCCATTTATGAAGTTTTCCTCCACTTCACCATTATGGTCCTGGCAAGAAAGTCCCTCTGTAGGATAAAGGAGGAGGAGAAGAGATGCTGAAGATTTCACTGTGCTCCTGGATAACTTGTTAAGAATCTCTTTGCTTGAGCAACGTTTATTTAGAGGAAACAGCTTTGACATCTTTACATGACAGAAGACGAGCGAATGAGTGGAATCACAATTGCCCATGGCTGAGTTTCCAAACAGCAATTGGAGACTCCAGAGAATGTATGTGACAAAAGGCAACACTGTTGGTAGGCTTCCTTACCCAAAGCCTTAGTGGAACACCATCATCATGTTCACCGCTACCATCTCTACCATCAGAAAGCATCGTACTCGTCACATGGCCACTAAAACAAATGGAGCCAAATTTTAGCAGACCATTCTTATTTTTGTTTTTACAAAACAACATCAAAGAGAATCAAAGTGCTACTGCTGGCATCATTGCCACGGTGGTGCAGTGGTTAGAGTGCAGTACTGCAGGCTACTTCTGCTGATTGCCGGCGGCTTGCAATTTGGCCGTTCGAATCTCACCAGGTTCAAGGTTGACTCAGCCTTCCAACCTTCCGAGGCCGTTAAAATGAGGACCCAGATTGTTGGGAGCAAGAGGCTGACTCTGTACACCGCTTAGAGAGGGCTGTAAAGCACTGTGAAGTGGTATATAAGCCTAAGTACGACTGCTATCTTCCTTCCTTCCTTCCTTCCTTCCTTCNTTCTTCTTCTTCTTCTTCTTCTTCTTCTTCTTCTTCTTCTTCTTCTTCTTCTTCTTCTTCTTCTTCTTCTTCTTCTTCTTCTTCTTCTTTTTTGATTAAGGGTGGTGGTGGAATGTCCTTTACTCAATATTAACCACTTGCCCACACAATAAATAAAATGGAAATAGGTCTTGAGGGTTTTATTGTTATTATTACTACTGTTACAGAGATGAAAAATCAGAAGCTGTAGAATTCTGCATGTAGCAAGTCCTAATTTCAGCTCTTGGCTGTGAAGAATTAAAGAAAAGAAGAAGAGATGGAATTGAGAAGATTAACCATGGCATATTTAGGAGGTATGAACTTAGCTGCAATATCTCGCCGGATGGGTCTACCAGCTGCACAAATCCAGATGACCACCAGAGGGCAGCAAGGTGTTAGAGTTTTCTGCCCTCTAGTGGTCAATTGGAGTTGTGCAGCCCAACCCAAATGACTGTCCATTCTGCAGTTATACTTCCACATGGAGCAAAGTACAGATAGGAGGTGGAGGAGGGGCGGGGGGGGGGTCACTTGACCAAGATTGGATGTTCAGAATTGTTTGGCCTGGATATCAAGCCCATTGCACCACAAAGAGCAAATAAAATGATTATTGATTCCTGGGAATGCTTAAACTGGTTTCACGGGGATGTATCTAGGAAATGTCAAAGGGAAGGGAAAGGAAGCAGAGAGGGGCAAGGGGAGGGGAGGATAGGATAGGTAAGGGAAGGATAGGAAGGGAAAAGAAGGGATGAATAAGGAAGGGGAGGGGAGGGAAGGATAAGGCAGCGGAGGGGAGAGGAGAGTCAAGGAAAGGGAAAAAGAAAAGGAAAGGAAAATGGAATGGAATAGAGGAAAGGAAATTAAAGGGAAGAAAAGGAAGAGAAGGCGAGGGGAGGGAAGAGAAAGGAAGCAGAGAGGGGCAAGGGGGGGAGGATAGGACAGGTAAGGGAAGGATAGGAAGGGAAAGGAAGGGATGAATAAGGAAGGGGAGGGGAGGGAAGGATAAGGCAGGGGAGGGAAGAGGAGAGTCTAGGAAAGGGGGAAAGAAAAGGAAAGGAAAATGGAATGGAATAGATGAAGGAAATTAAAGGGAAGGAAAGGAATGGAAGGGAAAGGAAGGGAAGGGAAGCACAGAGGGGCAAGGGGAGGGGAGGATAGGATAGGTAAGGGAAGGATAGGAAGGGATGAATAAGGAAGGGGGGAGGGGAGGGGAGGGAAGGATAAGGCATGGGAGGAAAGAGGAGAATCAAGGAAAGCGGGAAGGAAAAGGAAAGGAAAATGGAATGGAATAGAGGAAAGGAAATTAAAGGGAAGGAAAGGAAGGGAAAGGAAAGGACTTTTCAGAATCTACCCTCCACACACTGCAGTAGATAAATCACAGTTACTCTAAGCTGGCTGACAGGACTTTAAGCTTCAGGAGTCATCAGTCACAGAGGGAGTTTCTTCTTTTATCTTACTAAATGTAGAAAGTAAAAAGTAAAAAAAAAAAGAGTGCCAGGAACTGGCAATACTGCATGTCCAATGGTGCTGACATTTTCTTTCTTTCTTTCTTTCTTTCTTTCTTTCTTTCTTTCTTTCTTTCTTTCTTTCTTTCTTTCTTTCTTTCTTTCTTTCTTTCTCTCTCTCTNCAAATCGACGTCACACTAAGGTGTTTGCAGAAGGCTTCGCTTTTTGTGAGCAGGCGATTCCGTTTTATTTTTAAGAGCGGAGTTGTTTGTGTTTTTTGGGAAAGAGTTTTTCCCCTTCGTCCGAAAGCGAAAGACGGAAGGGGGCCAAGACTCTGCGTTTGAAGACAGGTTATTGCGGTTGTGTTGAAGCACAAATGGCTCGTATTTACGGATCCTAATTCTAATACTTTCTGTCCGTGTTACTGTACAAGCTAAAAATTCACAAAGTTCAGGGTTTTATAAGCAGTAGCCATCCGGCGCTTGCTGGGATGTTCCACAGTCCAATAACTTTCGAGGATGGACGTAGAGATTCTCCAGTTTTTCCCAAGATTCTTCCCAAGGATTGAAACCAAAACCAATTTATTTTATTTTATTTTTTTGCTGTTGAGCACTCTTCGCTTACAAAGAGGAGTTTCGTCCTCTCCCGTTTTTCCTCCGCACTTCTGGTTTTAGAAAGCAGCCGGCATCACGTATTCCGATAGAGTCGCAGCTCCGAAGGGAGGGAAGTGTTGTCGAAACCAATTCCCAGATGCGTTAGGAACCTCACCCCGTAATCTTTTTCGCAGATTAACCTCGCTAGGAAGTAATAACGGCTCATTCAAGTCTTTGCATCTGTTTTTTTTTTAAAAAAACAAACCCGCCAAGAATTAACGCATGGAAAGGCTGCCGTGGTTCTTTTTTTTTGTGTGTTTTTAAAGAAAAACATGTTTTAAAAAAAGATTTAAAAAGTTCTCATTCCATTAAAAAAAAGGGTGGAAAAAAATCACGAGCGTCAGAATAATTTCTGGCAGGTTCCTTCTGTGCAGGGCAAGTAATTTGGACCATCGCTTTCTTCTTATTTTAACCCGGCGGGATTGCAAGACGGTAACATTTGTTGCCGTAAAAGCAAAAGGAGAATTGGGGGGGGGGCTCATTGTAATGGGGAGGGGGCTGTGTGTTTTCAGGTGCTGCTCCCCCCCCCCCCAAACAGTGGAAATATTGGTCAGGAGTGCTGTGAAATGTTAAGAGGGATGACGGGGGAAGCGTAGGATGGAGTAATTTCGATTTTTGTGTTTGCAAGCGTGTCTGTATCGCCATTTGTGATGATGCTACTTTAAGAATCAGGAATGTTTTTATAAGGCCAGCTTTCTTTCTCCTTTCTCTCTTTTCTTTTCTTTCTGTCTTTCTCTCCCCTCCCTCCCTCCCATCTCATTATGGGTATATTTTGTTGATATTGTATTTTCAAACGCAACCATTCGCCAAGAAAAAATAGCAACAGAAATCATAATTCCCAGTGCCTTTTATTTGTTTTGCAAAATATTCTCAATGAGGCTGCCTCACTCCTAAAAGAGGGAAAGTGCCATTATCTTTTCATCTGTCTATGAAATTTCTTTCTCTACACTTCCTTTCATCCTCCCTCATTTTATCTCTTCTCTTTCTTTCTTCTTTCTTTCTTTCTTTCTTTTCCCTTCCTTTCATCCTCCCTCATTTTCTCTTTTTTCTTTCTTTCTTACTTTCTTTCTTTCTTTCTTTCTTCTTTCTTTCTCTCTTTTTCTTTTCTTTTTGTCTTTTTGTCTCTCCCCTCCCTCCCTCCCATCTCATTATGGGTATATTTTGTTGATATTGTATTTTCAAACTCAACCATTCGCCAAGAAAAAAAAGCAACAGAAATCATAATTCCCAGTGCCTTTATTTTGTTTTGCAAAATATTCTCATCGATGCTGCCTCACTCCTAAAAGCGGGAAAGTGCCATTATCTTTTCATCTGTCTATGAAATTTCCTTCTCTACCCTTCCTTTCATCCTCCCTCATTTTCTCTCTTTCTTTCTTTCTCTTTTTTCTTTCTTTCTGTCTTTCTCTTTCTCTCCCCTCCCTCCCTCCCATCTCATTATGGGTATATTTTGTTGATATTGTATCTTCAAACTCAACCATTCACCAAGAAAAAAGAGCGACAGAAATCATAATTCCCAGTGCCTTTATTTTGTCTTGCAAAACAGATTATTTTGCACTTTTGAGGGAAAGTGCCATTATCTTTTCATCTGTCTTATGAAATTTCCGTGTTTAGAAACAGGGCAGCAGGGATTCAGTAGTAGAAGCTGGAGAGGGAAGAGACGAACATGCCAGCATGTTGCATTTATTTAACATCCTGGGGATCTCCAGGTTGGAATTCTAGTCCAGCAGGCATTCTCAAGCTCCGCTTAATTTCAAAAATAGAGATTGCAAATTGCATCCCTTAAAAAAAAGGGGATGACCATGGAAAAGTGATTCTTTCCACCCTTTCCAAATGAGTGGGTGGGCGCGTGATACGTAACAAAGAGAAGCAGATCAGAAATCGGCAATTCCAGAAATAGCAAAGAAGTTTCTTGGTCCCACCACCTCTGTGCCTGCACCCCATCTGTCCAAAGAACTGGACGGTGGGCGAGGCACATAAAAGATCCGATGCAAAACTCTCGGTCTACTCAAAAGCTTGGCAGACCCTGCGCTCAAAAAGGCATTGGAAGGTTTTCAGGAGAAGATTGCTTTCCAGTTTGGTTCAGGAGTCCACCAACAGAAGCAAAGCTGGACGGAGGCCGGGCGGAACGGAGGAATCACGGGTCATCTTGGCTGGGTGAGATGAGCAGGATCCGTTTGTGAAGGATCATCGCATTGTGGACGGAGCTAGAATATAAAGGCAAGACTCAGGATGGGAGAAACCAATTACACCAGGGTTGTTTAAACCTTAGTAACTTTAAGACGGGTGGAGTTGAAATCCACCCGTCTTAAAAGTTACCAAGATTGTCCAACCTTGAATTAAGACTGACATTTCCCTCCCAAGTTGACAGATGAATTAAAAAAAAAAGGGATCACTCATTCAGAGAAAATATTTAAAAAATTTTGTATAAGAAGATAACCTGAATTCAGGACTTCCGGTGGGCGGAACCTGACAGGGGGTTGTTATTCTTAACAGCTCTGGAATCTTGGCGTCTCGTTAAGCTGTCTAAACAGCAATTCATCAAGCTGTCTAGCAGTTTATTTACCCTCTCTTCGGGCCTAGAACGCAAATTATAATCCTCAAGCAATCGGGAGAGACCAAAAGAGCAATTCCACGGGCAGGTTTGCAATTTACTTTTCTCCACTTCTGCAAGCAGAAGCTAAAACCCTTAAGTAGGAGGGATATCGTTTTTAATTTACGTTGGTTTGGATACAAAGCGCGAACAGTCTTAAAACCGCCGGGAAGCGGCCAGCTTACCAATTCGTACTCGTTCACGCGTTTGTATTTCTTCTCTCTGTACAAGTATCTTTTCTTCATAATATACAGGACAATGATATCACAGAAGATGGTGGCCTGGATGAGGGTTCACAAGGGAAAGTATTTTGAGAAAGGAAAAAAACCTTCCAAAGACCAGGAACATTTTAAAAAACTGCTTGGGGGGCAGGGGGGGAAGAAAATAAGTTTCTCACCATGCCAAACAGAGCGAAGCCGGATCCAATACTGATTATAGTAGGGATGATGTCAAATTTCCCAGCCTTAAAACATAACGAATAGAAGCAAAATATTCTATTATATCTCCTTAAGAACACTGCAGAAATTTTCAAGATACCGTTTTCGATTCACACAGTGAGCTGTGGTCTTTGTTGCCATGTGTGACTGTATTGATGGTGGTCGTGACCTGACAAATGCGCGCCCGACAAAACCGCGGCGAGAAAACCATGACGTCAAAATCGCGCCCACAAAAGTGCGATTAGGGTTAGGGTTAGGGTTATTATGTTTTCGCGTTGTTTGTTGATGGCGCGCTTTTGTCGGGGCACTTTTGTTGGCGCGCTGTTGTGGGCGCGATTTCGACGTCGCGGTTTTCTCGCCGCGGTTTTGTCACCGTGCATTTGTCGTGCGTGCATTTGTCGGTGAACCGATTGTGGTTTGTGGGTCATGATTAATGGCTTAGAGCAGTGATGGCGAGCCTTTTTTGGGTTTGCGTGCCAAATGCAGGGGGGGCGCAGGGGGGATTGTGCACGGACGTGCCATATCCACGTTATGCACACTAACCCAGCACGCATGCACGCACAACCAGCGCTCCGCCCTCTTTTTGGCGTGCTTTTTTTTGCCCTCCCCAGGCTCCAGAGGCTTTATAGGAGACTGAGGAGGGTGAAAACAGCCCCCCCCCGGGAGCTTCCCTGAAGCCTCCGGAGCGCAAAAAAAATGGCTCTACGGGCAAACCGGAAGTTTAGGAATGGACTTCCGGTTTGCTCGTAGGGCCGGTTTTAGCCCCCCGGAGCCTTCAGGAGGCTTCCCGGAAGGCTCCGGAGGGCAAAAAAACGACTACGAGCAAATCGGAAGTAACTTTGTGCCAGATTTTCCTCTCTGGAGGCTTCAAGGAAGCCTCTGGAGGGTGAAAAATAGCCTCAACAGAAGGCACGTGCGCTGACAAGGTGACACAGCAACGCCGCGCGTGCCCTGACAAAAGGCTCCGCGTGCCACCTGCTTAAGCTCGCCATCACGAGCTTAGAGCAATATTTCTCAACCGGAACCATTTTCCAAGAGTACAGATAAAATACATCATACAATTCCCCCCCCCCAAAAAAAAATTTACCGTGCCAAACACCATAATGTCGAAGCGTATCCCATAAGCCTTTACAAATGTCCGGTACTGAACGCCGGTGGCGGTGCGGTAGTATTTTGCAAACCTATACCAGGAGAAAGAAAGTGAAATTCAGGCCAATGATTGTGACGCCATCCCAGCAACATTTCTAGGCTGGAAATATATATATAAATCCAATATTTTAAACCTCACCACCACCACCACCCTTCCAAGATTGATGGGCCATTCATGTATATCCCCAAGAACTTCATAGTTGTGACAAAATAATATCCTTCTCGGTAAAAGCTTCGTCGGTTATGGAGTCCTCTCCTACATTCACCCAAAATCCAAATACCACTTCAAGTAGTTTCTTCTCCCAGTTAAAACAAACTCGTAAATATATTTTACACGTCATCTAGCAGTTTGTATGTGAGCAGCACCTTCACCCGCTTTGGCATAAAGCTGTAAAAACCGTGAAATTAAAAAACAGAAAACGAAATGCTGTTTTGGCATAAAAACAGTTAAAAAAAAAACACCGTCAGATCTGAAATTCTTCGGAGATAAAAAAAAAACATCTTCATTTGGTGCGAAAACGAAATCAGTCACCAGTTCCAGCTGAGATGTCCCACCACCAACTTCCAGCTTTGGCTGCTCGAACCTTGCCTTACCTGAAGTTGAATCCTGGGGAAATGGAATGAGCAGGATCCTTGTTGTCAATTCGCCGAAAGGAATACTTCGGCACGCAGCGGGAAGCCGAAGTGTCCAAGTCGCAATCCCATCGGATCTGCAGGCCCATCACGCCACCCTGCAAAAAGGACAGATCGAACCAGGCACAAAGGCTACCACTACTATCCTTGGCCAACACCTGTCTAATGCGGTCAACATTTTGCCGGAGTCGATCGCTCCAAATCTCAATGGATTTTGATGGTCAGCTCTGAATTCTCTTCAATGCGTCAAGCACATTACATGCCGCCTTTGGCAGAAGCGAGGAAAGCCGCCAAGTCAAATGAAATGGCTCTTCCTTTCCATGTTGTGGCCCGCCAGGGGCCAGCAGAGGTGGCAGCAGATTCAGGCAGTGAGGAGGGTTGGGGAGGAACCTGGGCCAGTCCTGGAGTCTGGGGAAGGCTCTGAGAAGGGCTCTGTGTCGGAGGCAGAAAGGGGGCCTGGGCCGTCTGACAGTTATCAGCTGCCTTCAGACATCAGTGAGGCAGAAGAACAGCTGGAGCCTATTCCCAGTGTGCACATGCGCAGAGTGGCCAGATGAAGGGAACAGCTAAAGAACAGGGGTGGACTTGGGAGTAAGGCCACAGGGGGACGTTGAATGGCCCCTCCCAGAAGGAATAAAAGAGGAGCGACAGGGGAGTGGAGTTTCCAGGAGACAATTAGTTCACTTCATTGGCTCGCGACTCTCCGAGACACCAAGTTTTGCAAATATCGGCCTGGCAGCTCTCCAAGCCTGATCAAGGTCGG